GCTGGAGGCTGAATAAATTCAAAAGGAGCATCACTCCATGATTTGAGATATCTGTACTCTCCCTTATGTCTCCTCCACTGAACCCTACCCCGAACTGAGGTGCTGAATCAAACGGCTCCTTGATCCAACTTGGTGGTGCTATTCTTAGATAGTACTTTTGTCAACACTTCAAGATATTATTTCATACTCGATTTGGATTCTCCCACCAATGTGTTTATGAAGCGAGAGGACAAAAAATGTATTTAGATAATACTAACTGAGACAACAGTTTTACGTAAAGAGTGTACTTAATTCAGCCACTTTTACATAAAAGAACAGGAAGTCCATACCAATGGAAAACCCGAACAAATACTCAGGCTTTCTGCAATTAATTTTGTAGCCTCTCTGAGAATACTCACAGCTTCTAATCTCCCCTCAAACCAGTATAATGCTGTGTGCTTTTTGGTGCTTCTTAAAGAACAAGTAGTTCTTTACGATACTTTTCCAATGAGGCATTAAGAAAAAAACAATTTAAAGTTCTGAAGTAACAATTACTGCTGCACAACATGAGCTGCTTAGCACTAACAAGTTCTCAAGGCTTAGCTAAACTTAATCTTTTACTAAAGGCTAATGTGAAACAGTAGCTCAGAAACTCTTCCAAAATGGGTAAGAAGTTATTTCTCTTGTTCCTGAAGGGATCACCCAGGAGACACTTTTAGGATTACTCCTTCTCCTTTGGGATCCTGGTGACATCAGCCACACAGCCTGTGTTATCACTCATCTGAAGACAGGATCTGATACCTCAAGTCAGTCTATTGAAATGGAAAAGTTAAGTGAGTTCATTTTATTCTACAACTACAGATCCTGACTCCTGTGGTAGCTTAGGCGCACATTTTGTGACAAGTACAGGAGCTGGATTTTACTAGGAATTCCTAACAACTGATGATAAGAAACAATCAAGTCTTTCCCCTGGAACATATGCTTATTTTACTTTTCTTTTTATTTTTGAAATTAAGAAGACAAAACAAGCAATCTCGAGATCTGGCTGTATCATCTGCAGTGGGATAATAAAACATTTGATGAACTCCATTCTCCAATATTACAAAGAGAACTTGCTGCTTTGTGCTGGTCTCTACTGATTAGATGCAAACATCAGAGAAATATCACCACCTTCACTGGTCCCCAGCTTTCTGTATTTAGTTACCACAGACACAACTAGAAGATCATCCTCAGACTTTTACAGTTCTACTCTTACTGGGTTTTTAAATCTTTGCCACTATGTAGATATTGGATATAATGGAGCTAACCAGAAAGTTTTTCTCTATGAAGATGAAACAGCAACATAAAGATATGACAAGGACCAGTGGAATTTCTCCAGCAATTTGCAATTGCCTCCCATGTAGCTACTGCAAGGTCATTATAGGCCATATCCTGCAGAGAGAGAAAGTAAAAACCTGCCAAGTTTCTGGTATAATACTAGAAGAGAACTACAAGAAAAGTGGATAGGAAGCTATGTGGAAGGCACAGTTGTTGGATCATATATTACACAGCTGGAAACCTTAAACTAGCAAGCAGAGCAGAGTGTGGACTTCCAGGTTCTGGACACAGTGCTGCTGCATTTGTGAGCTACTGCACCCGTGCTGGGAAGCCAGGCCAGGAAGCCCAGCCAAAAGGGCAAATTGCCACTTGTAGGCCCATCCCAGCTTCTGCAGAATGGGCTCAGATGTGCCAGGATCACATACTGGGCTGCTCCCACAATCAGAGAGCACAGACCTATCCTGGGACCCACAGCAGGAGAGCTGCACATGTATATACTCTCTGTTTCCTGTACAGAAACGCTGGATTGCTCTAGGGATTATACTTGATTACTTCATATTAATATATGAAATAAACTTCTGCCGTTCTCCTCCAAACAGGACTGCTTCACTTCTAACACAAGCAACAAGTAAAAATCTCATTCCTCACTGGTAGCAAAAAACAGTGAAAAAAAAAAAAGCAGACAGGACAAAACCCAGTCCCAGAGCACCCTGGCACATGAGCAGCCACTGGAGCCCACGAGTCTGGCACTGATTCAAACCTCTAACATGTGATACCCACCACCCATAACACAGAACTTTCAGGAGTGCAGTGCCTTGGCATTCAGGTTGCTAAACCAAGCCTTATCATGAGAGGCCTGGATTTTAAAGTAAACTCCTCAGGTGGAGAGATACTGAGGTGGAGGGAAGAAGGGTGAAAAGAGGGAGGGGAGGAGAAAAGAGCCACAGGTTATTCCACTTCATCTCCTTTGCCCTGGGAAAATGAAAGCATTACAGCTGTTTCTCAGAAGCCTGGAAAAGCTGGTGGTTATCAACAGAAATCTAACATCAGAGCTGGGCAGATCACATTTATTCCCAGCTGAAAACCAACTCAAAGTTTTAAATAGCCTTCATTTCTGTTAACAAAAAATGCCCAAAGAACAAGAACACCCAACAGCAGAGCACTGGAACATTTGTTACATGATATGCCTCTCACCTCAGTGCAATAGGAATCTGCTGTGTCTATCAGACAGATATGATTACCCTACACAAAAGGCAGCATTTGAATCATGGTGATTTTTGCTAAACCAAAAGAGTAAGAGGCTGGACAACAAGAAATTGAGAGAGAAACCAGGTGAAAAATAAAACTAGACAAACAGGTTCTGCATTAACTTGTAACCTACAATAAACAGTTATTTGAGCAAAATTAATCAGCTTTTACGGATATTTACCTAATTTCCACTTTGCAGCCACAATCAGCTATATAAAACCACAGTATGATGCACTTAACGTTAAGGCTTTGGATGCTGGCCATGAAGTAACAGCTAGAGCCTAAAACCAAAGAACACTGATACTAAGATATTACAGTTATCAACACAGAAAACACATTTATGTCACAAGCCTGACAAATACATGTGGACAAACATTTGAAAAATCTCCTTCCCATGTTCCTTCATATTTGTTTTTCCTTATCTTAAACCCACACGGCTGCTTTCTCTCCCTATGAGAGAAAGAAAAGCCCCAGGTTTTTTCAATCAAGGAGTTATATCATAAAATAAAATCTTGCGACCTTTAAATGCTTCTCCTTTTGACCTTTGTGCTTTAAAGTGCACTATGCTAGCAAGAAAAAAAAAAAAAAAAAAAGCCAGAAGCATGACCCTCTGTTTCAAACTCTCTGAAAAGAACAGAGTTGCAACATGGCAAGGTCTGAGATCAAGCAGGTGGCTGCCTTGATTCGGGGGTTTGGCACAGGAGCAAATAACCCCATCACTCAGCAGCCACCGAGTCCCAACCACTCTGGGAAACAGTGTTGATGTGGTTTTCTCCTGACCATTTCTGCCCAAAAGACAACTCAAAGCCAGATAAACCTTTCTTTACATTTTAAATGAACTGTGCACTAGGAAAAATTAAAGGCCACTCTTAATGGAAAATGTAAAAGGCTTCAGAACAAACTGCCAAGGTGGACATATTAAACATCACCTCCTCTTCATGAAAAAAGCAAACTAACAAATCCACACAAATATGCTCCAGTTGTCTATGCTATTAAACATGTCACCTTTTAGTCCAATTTATCCTCATTAAAAATGAACTGGACAAAGAATTACCCAAAATATCGACTCTGCCCATACTTTTTGCCTCTGAGTAATGATTCAGAAAAGTCTGAACCAGTTAAGTGTTAAAACATTCTCCTTAACAAAATGAAGGAAAACAAACTCTTGAACAATATTCCTGAAAATATGAGTATTAATAATTTTAGGATAAATTATACATCGAAACCATAAACAAACGATAAATATTTCTGATACTGGAAACACATTTACACAGTTCTGTGAACTCGTTTTATTACTTTGTTTTATTGAAAAGTATTGTAAATAAAAACAGCAATACAGCAGCTGTGTTTCTTCTCTGTATGTGCAACCTTAGAAGAAAGTAAGAATCAACAGAGCTGTGTGAATGGTAGACTGGATGGTCTTAGAGGTATTTTTCAACCCACAATTCCATGATTAACTGCAGCTGACAGAAAACTGTAAGGTATGTTCTGTGTTTAAGGTGTGCAAAACCAGGACCTTTTAACAATCCAAAGCATTCATTAACGTTTACCATTGTTATACAACACCATTCTGAATTATTCACTGAGAAACTTAATATACATAGAAGTATCCCTGCTATGTAAGGTTTTTCCTCTGGGATAAAATTATTGCAAACCACATTTCTTTAAACGGAGTCTAGCAACAAAACCTAAATAAAGGGGGAAAAGGGTTCCCAGCAGCATTCTTATTTACATCTTGGTAAGGCAAATTTTAAAAAGTGAAACATCCTTTTCTGCCTATGTTTAAAAGAAGCAAAAATCTAAAGAGCTTGACCACAAAATTAATGACACCAAATACAAGATCTAGATATTTTCAATTAAACCAAGTCACTGGGTTATAGCAAACAAAACTAGCTCTTTTCAGATGACAAATAGGCATAGGGACTACATTCCAATTGTCAAAGTCTGATGGCAAAGAGGCTGGCTGATCAGTCAACTGACTGCTGAGTATATTTTTCTTTTAATTCAGAACCAGAAATAGAGAAAAAGGTAGCGATTTTTCTCAAACATCTGCTTATTAAGAAGCCAGAATACCTCATTCTCCAGGAGTTAAAGACCATCTCTAAATGTAGAGGCCTCCTCAGCTCCCTTGCTCAGGTGTACATCCCGACTGGGTCCTGGCTACATATGGAGAGGAAGTTTCTGTTTCATACATCACAATCTTCCACATGCCCTGATCTGGTCACTTACTTTACTGACATGGAAACAGAATTTACAGGGTACTCCTATCCTGGGGAAGAACCAAGTACCAGAACTAGAGTGCATTTGTCCTTATTTGAGACAAAGAGAGGCACAGAAAATGGCTCCCCGTTTGTGGGAAGCACTTACTAAATGCCTGAAGGTTAGCATACAAACACTGAAATTCCTGTACGATTAACAAACCTCACAAAACACAGAAAACATTAAAAAAGTACTACCTTCTTTTCAGTGGTGCTTGAAGTCTTTGATACTAAAGCTGTTTCAACAAGACCCTGCTCAAGTAAGGAGTCATATTTTATGCTTCTTTTTCTGCTTCTCCTCTCCTTGTTTGCTGGCTTTTGTTCATTTTCCTCTGACTGAGACACATCTGCACCATTGTCTCCACAAATGGAGGATTCGAAAAGAGGCTTTCCATTCATGTAGGTTTTAGTGATTTTCAGCTTTATTTCTGGAGAGCCATTCTTGATAGGAGTAGTGTTGGGGGGTGTTCCAACTCCCTTTATTTCCTGAGGTTCAAAGCGCAGCTTGGCATCTTGGGCCCCGGATTCGCCATTAAACACCCGAGAGGTCAGATCTTTCAATTTATCAGCTGGAATAAATGGAAGAGTCTCATGGCCATTGTATTTTTGCATGACACCTTCCTGTAGAGTGGCAGAAAGTTGTGCTTTGCCCAAGTAGACAGAACATTCACGATTCACTTCACAATTCTGAGGTTTCCCATTGGTATTTCCAAGGATCTCTGGTACCTGCTTCATTTTGATGTAGTTAATTTTTTGAGTTAACAGTTGAGAACTTCTTTTGATGCTAAAGTCCATTCAGCCCAGATGTTTCCAATCTTACACCGCTATATTAAGACAAAAAGAAAATATTTTTAATAAGAAATGTCAAAAGCTATCAAGTATTCAGATAGACGTCAGCACTAATATAAAACTCAATGTACTTCATAAGAGTTTTACTAAAAAAAGCTTTGTTTACAATCTTCAGAAGCAAAATGCCTCCATATCTGTTAATATGCATTACAAAAAAGTCCAAGAAAAACAGATCTATGAATCATCAATTTTATTAAATCAAAAGTGGAAAGCAAAATCACAGCTTTCATTTTAACCATGTGTTAACCATCTACAGCATAAGTCTTGCCTACAATAATTACACAAAGGTACTGCACTATATAAAACAAGTAAGAGGTTAGACCTAAGATAATATCATTAGTAACAACATAAACCAGATGAGTTTATCTCCATGAGGTTGTGCCAGCACAGAAACCCCACAGGCTGTGTTCCTGTAGCACCTACACTCTGGACAGCAGCATCACAAGCTTCCTTTCCTTACTCTATGAACAGCCCTTCAATCTTCCATCAAAACACACCTGCTGCAGAAACACTACAGCTCAGACATCTCCCAAAGCATTCTAGCCATAAGAATGAATAAAGGGTGAGCCTTTTGGGCCAGGAACACCAGCCCACTTGGAAATGGCTAATCCTTCAGGCCAGTGACCATACTGGGTAAAATTTAAATAATCAAAGCAACTGCTAGAATTTCAGATTCTTCATAGCAACAATATCACCTAACACCCACTTTTCATACAGAAATTTGCAAACATGCAACTAGCTAAAACCACACTATTTTCTGCCCTAAACAGGTTCTCCAAGAGTTTTAAACGCTAACCCTGCCTATTTCAACATTATGCCATTGTAGCAAACAAATCAATCTGGCAGAATGACTCCTTTGTGTTCCTATACCAGGTAAGATGACAGTTTCAATTTTTAAAATTTACATGCATAGATTTTTTGTATTACCAGGTCCAGTATATACATGATATAGAAAAACACACCATCATGAATATTATGAAAGCTCAGCAGAATAATCATCACATCCATGCCCAAGGTAACCAATTTCATATATGATTAAATCCAAGGACTGTCACATCGAATCAAAATTTCATCACATCTTGTGTCATGTGCTTCCAAAAAAGCGCAGTAAAAACCCATGATGAATAACTATTGAATTGTCAGTTGCTATGGAAGAAATCACTTCTGAATCTCACCTTGTTTACTAATGCACACAGTTATAATACTTACAACTGGCATATTCCTCCAACTTGCATTTTTGATAGCTCTACATCAGGAGTAGGAATGTAAACATGTTCATAACTGAGTACTACTGTAGCCTGGCAAAGCTTCTTAAGGATGTCAAACCTGAATTCAAAGCAGCTGATGAACATGAAACCTTTTCATTTACAAAGATGCAGAAATACATTAAAAATCCTAACTCCATCACTCCTCAGCAAATGTTCCTATCTACCTAACATTCTGCTCTAAAATATCTACAAGATAAAAGGGTATCTTGCCACACAAGCTACACAGACTCATTTGACAGATGAAAACCCTTCTTTCTCCAGGCACAGACAGCAGTCTGAAAATCTGGCATTAAACAAGGCAAGAATAGCAAGTGTACCTGAACTCCAAGTGAATCTGCATGAGAAAAAGTTCTAATCTTTCTTTAGTCAGATGAAGTCTGAATCACCAACAAAATCCCTGATAAAATGAGTAGAAAGCAGACAACTACATTAACTCTTCTTCAGAGATACAAGGAAACTCAGAACTCAACCAGAGAAAAATAAATGACTAAACCGAAAGAGAATTCCTGTCCTTTCACAACATCTTCTCTGAAAACATGGACACGAGACAAACTCTCAACCCAATTAATAACATGACAGTGTTTCAAGCTGTGATTCAGCAGATTTTACCGAAATCATATTTCTCTTAAGAAACAACTAATGACAAGTTCTATAAATCTCTGGGCAAAAGGCAAACCTGCTGGGAAGCATGTCACACTGTTGGGGAGTGCAAAACTCCTTTAAAAAAAATTATTTTTAAGGCCAAAGCCAAGAACAAAAAACCCCAAACACCGAACTGTTGCTGCATCTGTACTTCCCTTCCAGGGGCTCTCAAGGGGGTAAAGCAGAGTTTGATTTGGGATGGAAGTTGGGAATTCCCGGGAGGCAGCGCAGCGGCTTCGTGCGGCCGCGGCGCCCTCCAGTGGTGCCGGGCTCATCGCGGCTCAGGAGCAGATTTTAGGATGGCTCCATTACCAGCGTATGGATTTCTGCATCGGGCCAGCTGCATTTTCTAATCCACAATTTGTTCTGTGCTGCTTAATAATAACTTTTACTCACATCACATGTGCCTTGAAGCTACAAAGCCATTACGCTTGAGTTACTGGTGTTACTGGTGCACTCGATCTCGGGACACTGGATGAATTAAAACAGGTATCTTCAGCATGTGAAAATATAAAAATCGCCATAGTCACAGAATAACTTAGGCTGGAAGGGATTTCCTCAGATCCTCTACTCCGACCCTCTGCTTAAACTAGATCAAACTTATCAAAGCCTTGTCTGAACAATGACCCGTAGATAACCAAGTTAAACACTATGATTTTAAAAAAATAAAGTTTTTCTCTTTCTAGCTAATAAACTTAACAGTACGCATTCCATACCACAAAAACAAAACAAAAAAACCCTCCCAAAACAAAAAATCCCAAGAAAACAAAACCTCAAAAGAAACACCCCCCCAAAAAAAGACCAATAAGGCCATGCAGTGAAAGACCCTGAACTTTTAGCAGTTACCTTGATTTTCCTGATCCATCTGAAGATACACAGGTTTCAAGAACTTCAGTGAATGAAGGTTCAGTTAATGATTCTCACTAATACAGGTCACTAAAAACAGCTGAAAGCACTGAAAAAGGCTCCTCAAATCACTGGAGCCTACAGACAACAAATCCAGGAGTAATACTGGTAAAAGGAAATAATGCACCCAACAAAGGAGTGATACTGGTAAAAGGAAATAATGTACCCACAACAATGGTAAATGGGAAAATGAAGACAAAGACAGTAATTTTAAACTGTAAGATATCAGAACCAGGAGATACAGATTATACAACATGGAAAATAAACCATATTTGTATAAAGATTTAATGGAACCAAATTAGTAGAGGCTTAAAGTAAGAGGCAGAATAATAGGCTAAGATAACAGATGTGAGTACCTAACAGAAAACACAATCCCATGGGGAGATGAGACATGTAGACAGCAATTTGCAGGTTAGTCACCATCTCTAGGACAACCAGTGGGATGGAAATTAGTGATACACATCTCAGTCCTCCTTGCAAAAAATAAGCTACATTATGGGGTCTGGGTAAAAGAAACAAGTTAGAAAATCTACACATGGGAATAACAGAGGGTTTCAGCAAAGAAGATCAAAATTGAAGCCAGGTACATTTTGCACCACCTTTACTATACAAAATTTCACAGTAACACTGTAAGGAAGAAGAAAAAGGACCAGGCCCCTTGTGACAAGAGGACACAGCAGAAAAGAGGGGGCAAGGAGAAAATAACCACCAACCAAGCAGTGCTGCTGTGAGTTTGGAATTAATGCAAGGAGATCTATAAGACAAAACATGAAAGAATGAAACAAGATAGATCACAGACAAGATCTGGTTGATTCAAGTTGTAGGAGTAAGGTCCTGAAGCAGCTGAGAAGACAATTAGATTTGGTAACTAAAATCTAATGCACTCATGCTGGACCACGGTATCACACAGAAGCAAAAGCAATCCCTTATCTTTTTCTAGATGACTCTGTATCTATTGAAAGGAAAGCGGGGGGAGGGCAGGGAGAGGAAGGGGGACAAAAGCACCACATGCTAGTAGCAGCTAATGAGCTTAAGCCAGTATCGTCCCATATTGAATGTCTGGTGACCCAACAAGTACCATTTTCACTAACAAAGCGGGAAAAAACAGTATAACCAGGAGTCTGCTGAATAAACGGGGTATTTTGGCTTGTGAACAAATAGATTTCAGTATGCAAAAGACGATTTCTTATCAGACGAAGGTCTCTAGGATTTTTAATTAGACAATGACAACTGGACAATCTTTGCAGTGGCTTTGTACACATTTTCATACTAAAAAACCAGATTCTATATAAGGCAACTATCTTGCAGACATTTTAAATCACGTATTAATTACTTGAAAGTTCATCATCTGACAGGAGTCATGAGCCAAATACAGTAACTGTGCATGTCAGATTCCTCCTTCACTGTCCAGACCACTATAATTTATGTGATATTTATTAGTCTTTCTTCCACATCTGCTGTAATTTCAGAGATGCTTTTCTGGTGTGTCAGAAATAATGGAGTACTCCATTCCTTTCAATACTGCCAAAGGGAGGGAACTGAGTAAGTAACCACCAACAAGCATCTCTATTAAATACCACTTTTATTTTAAGGGTTTTCTTACTCTGGTGAACTACTTGGGACAGGCACAGGGAGGTGGGGAAAGAAGGGGAGGATGACACACCTCAATACAAATTCACAGTGAGAGAACTTTATCCACAAAAGCTATTTTTGTTACTTACAAATCAGGCTTTCAGCTGGCATGAAAAAGCTAATAAATAGATGGCTGCTGCTTTTTTGTGGTAAGATTGCTTTCTGATAAGTGTTCTCCACTGTCTCATCAATTTTAAGACAAAAGGTTATTCCTATTTTTACATCAGAATGAGAGAAAATACTTAACGAGATTAAGAAGATTACAACACTTTTTTGCTAATACATTTGATAACTTGAGTATGCTTACTCATATAATCTTGCATAAAACCCCTAAAGTATCAAATAGGAGGTAAGTATTTACTATCGTGTAGTACATTGTAACTGTTCTTCACTAGATTAAAACGAAGAAAAATTACTACAGCATCTAAACAGATTTTTATTTTCGAAGAAAACACAACTAAAAATTGCATTGCAAGTTTGGCCAAAAGTAGTCACAAACCAGTTCTAGTCAGAAAATTCAAAAGCAT